GATTTTATTAGACTGTTATCCTGTTAGAATCAAATGCACTAATATTAATGGTTTAGAAGTTAGCATGCGGGAGAAACAGAAATTGAAGCATCGAAAATCCACATTACGTTTCTTATTACGGAAAATTACACACATTACGTCCCGCAAAAAGTGACGTTTTGCGGGAATTCAAACGCATAACGTCACGCCAAGAGTTAACTCCCTTGAAACTGTATCGGATGCCCTTAAGTGAATGGATCTCTATGAAATTTTACCATAAGGTTCAATACTACAAAAGGAAGGTGGGGATTGATTTTGGGGGTTATGGTACCAACAGTTAAGGAATTAGGGGCCAAAAAGGGGCCAAAAATAAGCATTTTTGTAACTTCCAGACATAACTTGTGTGTAAGTGTATGGATCTCTCTGACATTGTATCACAAGGTTCCATATCACAAAGGGAATGCTGGGATTGATTTTGGGAGTAATTGCCTCCAAATTTTAGGAATTAGGGGCCAAAAAGGGGCAAAAAACAAGCATTTCTCTAGTTTCATGACAATAACTTGTGTGTAAGTGTATGGATCTCTCTGACATTGTATCACAAGGTTCCATATCACAAAGGGAATGATGGGATTGATTTTGGGGGTAATTGCCTTAAAATTTTAGGAATTAGGGGCCAAAAAGGGGCAAAAAACAAGCATTTTTCTAGTTTCAGGACAATAACTTGTGTGTTAGTGTATGGATCTTTATGAAATTGTACTGCAAGGTTCCATATCACAAAGGGAAAGCTGGGTTTGAGTTTGGGGGTAATTGTCCCAAACATTTAGGAATTTGGGGCCAAAAAGGGGCCAAAAAACAAGCATTTTTCTAGTTTCCAGACAATAACTTGTGTTCAAGTGTATGGATCTCTCTGAAATTGTACTGCAAGGTACCATACCACAAAGGGAAGGCTGGGATTGAGTTTGGGGTCGATGAATCATAAGGGGGTTCAAAAAATTGGGGGGGGGGATTTTTTTTTCCTTTTTTTTCTTTAAAATTTTCCATTTTAAATTGGTTATTTCTGATTTATATATAAAAGCAAATAATAATGATATGGTTTGAATAGGTAAATTAAAATTTTCTAAGTTCTTAGACCACATTCATTCTGTGTCAGAAACCTATGCTGTGTCAAATATTTAATTACAATCCAAATTCAGTGCTGTATCAAGCTTGAATGTTGTGTCCATACTTGCCCCAACTGTTCAGGGTTCGACCTCTGCGGTTGTATCAAGCTGCGCCCCAGCAGAGCATTTTATTTTATTATCTGTTCCCTCCTGTAGAATACAACCCATCTGATTTATTTTATTATCTGTTCCCTCCTGTAGAATACAAACCATCTGATTTATTTTATTAGCTGTTCCTCCTGTAGAATACAACCCATCTGATTTATTTTATTATCTGTTCCCTCCTGTAGAATACAACCCATCTGATTTATTCTATTATCTGTTCCCTCCTGTAGAATACAACCCATCTGATTTATTTTATTATCTGTTCCCTCCTGTAGAATACAACCCATCCGATTTATTTTATTATCTGTTCCCTCCTGTAGAATACAACCCATCTGATTTATTTCATTAGCTGTTCCCTCCTGTAGAATACAACCCATCTGATTTATTTCATTAGCTGTTCCCTCCTGTAGAATACAACCCATCTTCCCAATATATGTTGTCAACTTTAACCAAGTTTCACAATGACCTTTATTTTTATATTATACTGCAATCTGATTTCATTTATTAACATAAATGTGGACAACAATGTTACCAAGTATCATCTATTCAAAAATTATGGACAGATAAACAGAGGGATTCCTAAATATATATGAACTCCACATATTCGACAGGGTACCAATTTTGCTGCACTAAATATGTGCATACTTCGATGACTAAAATCTCTTCAGTAGTGCTTGATGTTAAAACATTGAAATGGGAAATATATATAAAGTGAATACCTTGACTACTTCTGAAGCTTGTGTAACTCCATCATTTATTAGATCTAAAAACATTGGACTTTGAATTTCCACAAATGAAACTCTGATGCTAATGCTAATGAATAAATATTTGTATAACATCATTTTATTTTTAATCTGACAAACTAAACAATAATATCACATCAAGGATCATACTACAACAAAAATAAAATAACAACTACTGTAAATTAGGTTTAATACTTGTATTAAAAGAGAAACCTGATCATTTGTTAAAATAATCCAACATTACAATTTCTAGTCCTTCTTTTGGAGGCATGTAAGTTATAAATTCCCTTTTCCCCATGTGGAACCTCATATTTATATGTGTAGATGTAATCTGTTTTAACACCACTTTCAATATTTGCATTATTCAAAATAATTGGGAAATTGAAGTGAACATTGCTATTCAAACCCTTGATTAAGGAAAAGTATTAATGTTCATACATGATTGATTGTTGGTTGCTTAACGTCCAGTGGGTACATACATGAAGTATTGCTAATTAATACACATGCTTTAGAATAGTGATTTATAGATTCCATACTTTTATTACCTCAGTTCTATTGCACCAAAGTTAACACACATGCATGTACATGTAATTTTAAACAAAATACTATTGAAGAGAGAATGGGTCTTTTGATCTTTTTCCAAAATAAAAATTTCTAGTCTGAATCAGTGTCATAAATGACCCATTTTCTCTTGCAAGAATTTTTCTGAAATTCCAATTAAATGTGGATACATTTCGTATCATGCCAGGAAATACAGCAACTGGACATCATTTGTTTAACTTTGACGTCATTTGATTTGACGTCACGCCCTACATGCGATACAGGTTTAGTCATGCAATGCGGTGTAGATGATACAGACTGGAGAAAAGAACCTTTATTAAATATACAAAATTCTGTATTTAGTACTAAATGTATGATAAACAGAAATATCACATATACCATGTATACCAATAACAGCCTACAAATACATATTCCACATATACCATGTATACCAATAACAGCCTACAAATACATATTCCACATATACCATGTATACCAATAAGATCCTACAAATACATATTCCACATATACCATGTATACCAATAAGATCCTACAAATACATATTCCACATATACCATGTATACCAATAAGATCCTACAAATACATATTCCACATATACCATGTATACCAATAAGATCCTACAAATACATATTCCACATATACCATGTATACCAATAAGATCCTACAAATACATATTCCACATATACCATGTATACCAATAAGATCCTACAAATACATATTCCACATATACCATGTATACCAATAACAGCCTACAAATACATATTCCACATATACCATGTATACCAATAAGATCCTACAAATACATATTCCACATATACCATGTATACCAATAACAGCCTACAAATACATATTCCACATATACCATGTATACCAATAAGATCCTACAAATACATATTCCACATATACCATGTATACCAATAAGATCCTACAAATACATATTCCACATATACCATGTATACCAATAAGATCCTACAAATACATATTCCACATATACCATGTATACCAATAAGATCCTACAAATACATATTCCACATATACCATGTATACCAATAAGATCCTACAAATACATATTCCACATATACCATGTATACCAATAACACTTATTAACAGCCTACAAATACATATTCCACATATACCATGTATACCAATAAGATCCTACAAATACATATTCCACATATACCATGTATACCAATAAGAGCCTACAAATACATATTCCACATATACCATGTATACCAATAACAGCCTACAAATACATATTCCACATATACCATGTATACCAATAACAGCCTACAAATACATATTCCACATATACCATGTATACCAATAAGATCCTACAAATACATATTCCACATATACCATGTATACCAATAAGATCCTACAAATACATATTCCACATATACCATGTATACCAATAAGAGCCTACAAATACATATTCCACATATACCATGTATACCAATAACACTTATTAACAGCCTACAAATACATATTCCACATATACCATGTATACCAATAAGATCCTACAAATACATATTCCACATATACCATGTATACCAATAACAGCCTACAAATACATATTCCACATATACCATGTATACCAATAAGATCCTACAAATACATATTCCACATATACCATGTATACCAATAAGATCCTACAAATACATATTCCACATATACCATGTATACCAATAACAGCCTACAAATACATATTCCACATATACCATGTATACCAATAAGATCCTACAAATACATATTCCACATATACCATGTATACCAATAAGATCCTACAAATACATATTCCACATATACCATGTATATCAATAAGAGCCTACAAATACATATTCCACATATTTATACTGTAATAAATCAGCTGTCAGTCACAATATAAAACTCTCTGTCAAGTGTGGGCAGTGAACGAGTTCAAAAAGGTTTACTGTTTTGTTAAGTAGGTACAGAACACCTAAAGGAGTTAACTCTTTAAAAATCAGCTGAACGTTTTAATCACATACTATTAGTAAAGAGAAATCAAGCTTCTCAATGATCAAAATTATTGTTTATCAAACTGCTATATATCTAATGAAATTATTCCTGTAAATTGTGTGGTTCAAATTTCTTGAATTTTTCATATTTTTGTCAACAGGTCAAAGTGAATATTTTGTCAAAGTTTTAAGAAAAATTAAACGAATCAAATTTATTATTTTAGTCAAAGTGTTGGGTACCCCTTAAACAGGGGAATTATAAGGAAAAAGATTGTTTACATGACAAATGGACTAGATTGTACCAATAAACAGAAAGGTGACAGTTTTGAAGGTCTTTACTTAAATCTCAATTATTTTCATTTTGCCCTGTCAGAATTGTAATACCTGTAGATAATTTGTCTTATGATTTTTGTTCTACATATTGTCTCATCAATGATTAGTTGAATTTGGAAATATCATAGATTTCTGTTCTTTAGGTCATGGTGAAAATGTTGAACCCACAGACGGGAAATGAATGGATGTGGGATAGAAATAAGTTCATCAACAGAAAGTTCCTGATGCAGGAAATGTACCAGAACTATATTGAGGGAGATGATGACTGGGACTTACCGCAGGTGAGTAACTGGTGCAGATGTGGAATATGATGACTGGGACTTACATCAGGTGAGTAACTGGTTCAGATGATGGAGATGATGACTGGGACTTACCTCAGGTGAGTAACTAGTGCAGATGATGGAGATGATGACTGGGACTTACCTCAGGTGAGTAACTAGTGCTGATGAGGGAAATGATGACTTGGACAAACCTCAGGTGAGTAACTAGTACAGATGATGGAGATAATAACTGGGACTTCCCTCAGTTGAGTAACTGGTGCAGATGAGGGAGATTATGACTAGGACTTACCTCAAGTAAGTAAGTTAGTACAGATGAGAGAGATGATGACTGGGACTTCCCTCAGGTAAGTAACTGGTGCAGATGAGGGTTATGATGACTGGGACTTACCTCAGGTGAGTAACTGGTGCAGATGAGGGAGATGATGACTGGGACAAACCTCAGGTGAGTAACTGGTGCAGATGAGAGAGATGATGATTGGGACAAACTTCAGGTGAGTAACTGGTGTAGATGTGGGAGATTAGGACTGGGACTTACCTCAGGTGAGAAACTGGTGCAGATGAAGGAGATTATGACTAGGACTTATCTCAGGTAAGTAACTGTAGTAGATGAGGGAGATGATGACTGGGACATACCTCAGGTGAGTAACTGGTGCAGTCCACAAATTTTTGATAGTGTGGTTCAACCTTAAAAAGAGGAATAGAGCCTATGTTTGTCAATTTGTATGTCATTTAAAAAAAATTCCATTTTTTGTTAAGCAGCCAACATTGTCTAAGTAGATGTGGTATGAGTGCCAATGAGACAACTCTCCATCCAACTGTTCCAGATTTGAATGCATGGGAATGGGGTTGGAGGCAACTTTTTAAACATAAATTTGTGTCTTAACATATTTTTGTGTGCAACAACTTAATTCTTCTCTTACAATCTATTATTACAGGAGAAGGATCCATTCTGGGAACCAGCTGACACAGAACTGTTGCTGGGTACAGTCCACCTTCATCTTATGTCAGTAGCTCATAAACTAGACTCTGAGGAGACTCTAACCATCACAAACTATAAGGGTGTAGAACTAGGTAAATATGCTGCAGTTTCTTTCTGTTTTCCATCTGTGAAGGACTTGTCACTGTAAGGGTACTACATCTCATGTGGAGATATATGTTTATATATCTTTATACAAAGTATAATTTACTATATTCAATAAGATAGCTACTGACCAACGGTCATGGTTTACTGATGTGGGGATGACTGTTGGAGAATTGGTAGATATATCTTTAAACATACCCTTCTATTCTCGGGTATTTTGAATTTCTCAATTGTTTTAAGTTCACCAAGCAAGCAATTAAGTGTCAGGTAGATATTTGTCTCATTGAAAATCAAACCACATCTCATTATTTTTATAAACTTTGTCATCTTGTGGGGGAATAATATTTTCAGCTTATATGTTTTCAGAATTTTAACATGGGGGGGCTCAACATACAAATTGGGTATAGATGTCCCCCTGGGGTTTGAAAACTACCCCATTCATATATTGATTCATGCGAAAATCCCTACCCATTCATACATTTTCAAGCTATTATGACATCTTATTTAGACGTTAACCACATGGGATCATGAATATTATCAGATAAATAGATCAGAATCACAGTTTTGACAGACATCTCTAAAGATGATGAACATTTATGACCTACTGATATATAAATGTGTACCCATTGGTATATTACCTCTGTTAAATATCACCCTATTGGTATATTACCTCCATGAAATAGCACCCCACTGGTGTATTTGACATTCCAAAAGAGTGACCCATACCAGCAGCACATCTATGTATACTCTTATTAAGGATGACACACTCATCTCTATTCAGTGACCCATACCAGCATCACATCTGTGTTTACTCTTATCTAGGATGACACCCTTCTCATCTCTATTCAGTGACCCATACCAGCGGCACATCTGTGTTTACTCTTATCTAGGATGACACCCTTCTCATCTCTATTCAGTGACCCATACCAGCGGCACATCTGTGTTTACTCTTATTCAGGATGACACCCTTCTCATCTCTATTCAGTGACCCATACCAGCATCACATCTGTGTATACTCTTATCTAGGATGACACCCTTCTCATCTCTATTCAGTGACCCATACCAGCGGCACATCTGTGTATACTCTTATCTAGGATGACACCCTTCTCATCTCTATTCAGTGACCCATACCATCGGCACATCTGTGTATACTCTTATCTAGGATGACACCCTTCTCATCTCTATTCAGTGACCCATACCAGCGGCACATCTGTGTATACTCTTATCTAGAATGACACCCTTCTCATCTCTATTCAGTGACCCATACCAGCGGCACATCTGTGTATACTCTTATCTAGGATGACACCCTTCTCATCTCTATTCAGTGACCCATACCAGCGGCACATCTGTGTATACTCTTATCTAGGATGACACCCTTCTCATCTCTATTCAGTGACCCGTACCAGCGGCACATCTGTGTATACTCTTATCTAAGATGACACCCTTCTCATCTCTATTCAGTGACCCGTACCAGCGGCACATCTGTGTTTACTCTTATTTAGGATGACACCCTTCTCATCTCTATTCAGTGACCCATACCAGCGGCACATCTGTGTTTACTCTTATCTAGGATGACACCCTTCTCATCTCTATTCAGTGACCCATACCAGCATCACATCTGTGTATACTCTTATTTAGGATGACACCCTCTTCTCATCTCTATTCATTCTCATCTCTATTCAGTGACCCATACCAGCGGCACATCTGTGTATACTCTTATCTAGGATGACACCCTTCTCATCTCTATTCAGTGACCCATTCCAGCAGCACATCTGTGTATACTCTTATCTAGGATGACACCCTTCTCATCTCTATTCAGTGACCCATACCAGCGGCACATCTGTGTATACTCTTATCTAGGATGACACCCTTCTCATCTCTATTCAGTGACCCATACCAGCGGCACATCTGTGTATACTCTTATCTAGGATGACACCCTTCTCATCTCTATTCAGTGACCCATACCAGCGGCACATCTGTGTATACTCTTATCTAGGATGACACCCTTCTCATCTCTATTCAGTGACCCATACCAGCGGCACATCTGTGTATACTCTTATCTAGGATGACACCCTTCTCATCTCTATTCAGTGACCCATACCAGCGGCACATCTGTGTTTACTCTTATCTTGGATGACACCCTTCTCATCTCTATTCAGTGACCCATACCAGCGGCACATCTGTGTTTACTCTTATCTAGGATGACACCCTTCTCATCTCTATTCAGTGACCCATACCAGCGGCACATCTGTGTTTACTCTTATCTAGGATGACACCCTTCTCATCTCTATTCAGTGACCCATACCAGCGGCACATCGGTGTATACTCTTATCTAGGATGACACCCTTCTCATCTCTATTCAGTGACCCATACCAGCGGCACATCTGTGTATACTCTTATCTAGGATGACACCCTTCTCATCTCTATTCAGTGACCCATACCAGCATCACATCTGTGTATACTCTTATCTAGGATGACACCCTCTTCTCATCTCTATTCATTCTCATCTCTATTCAGTGACCCATACCAGCGGCACATCTGTGTATACTCTTATCTAGGATGACACCCTTCTCATCTCTATTCAGTGACCCATTCCAGCGGCACATCTGTGTATACTCTTATCTAGGATGACACCCTTCTCATCTCTATTCAGTGACCCATACCAGCGGCACATCTGTGTATACTCTTATCTAGGATGACACCCTTCTCATCTCTATTCAGTGACCCATACCAGCGGCACATCTGTGTATACTCTTATCTAGGATGACACCCTTCTCATCTCTATTCAGTGACCCATACCAGCGGCACATCTGTGTATACTCTTATCTAGGATGACACCCTTCTCATCTCTATTCAGTGACCCATACCAGCGGCACATCTGTGTATACTCTTATCTAGGATGACACCCTTCTCATCTCTATTCAGTGACCCATACCAGCGGCACATCTGTGTATACTCTTATCTAGGATGACACCCTTCTCATCTCTATTCAGTGACCCATACCAGCAGCACATCTGTGTATACTCCTATCTAGGATGACACCCTTCTCATCTCTACTCAGGGGTCCAATTTTTTTGTTCAGTAGGAGTATGGAGAAAACATAGTTTATGTTAGAGATTTGAATATCAGTGCATCCAAATCTAATAAGAAAAATGATGAATTTTACAGGACATATAGAATGTGCTATAGAGCCTTGTTCTGCTAAAGGAGGGCCCTTACCAGAGGATGATTTTGTAGATAGTCCTGATGAATTAGTAAGTAATTAATTATCATGAATTAGTTAGTAATCAATTATCATGAATTGTAGGTAATCAATTATCATGAATAAGTAAGTAATTAATTATTATAAATTAGTGAGTAATTAAAATATCATGAATTAGTAAATAATTAATTATAATTAATTAGTAAATAATTAATTATAATTAATTAGTAAATAATTAATTATAATTAATTAGTAAATAATTAATTACCATTAATTAGTAAGTAATTAATTATCATGAATTAGTGAGTAATAAGAATATCATTACTAAGTAAATAATTGATTATCATAAATTAGTATTTAATTTATTATCATGAATTAGTGATTAATTAATAATCATGAATAAGTAAGTAATTAATGAGTAATTAATTATCATGAATGAGTAAGTTATTGATTATCTAATATTAGAAAGTAATTAATTCTCATTAATTAGAATTTGAAAATATCCTGAATTTGTAAGTAATTAATTATCCTTAATTAGTAAGTAACTAATTATCATGAATTAGAAAGTAATGTTTTATCATGAATTGTATGTAATTAATTATCATGAATTAGTAAGTAATTAATTATCATAAATTAGTATTTAATTAATTATCATGCATAAGAAAGTAATTAATTATTATTAATTAGTAAGTAATTAATTATGTTTTTGAAATTAAAACTTAGGTCAGTCTGATACAATTTTATTTTGACTACATATATTCTATATGTATACATTCTATATGTATACAAGATGAACTTTATTCTCACAAAACTACATGTCATAGTTACAGAGAAAATATATATCTACAATTACATATATGTATGAATGTCAAAGTCTGCACTTAACATAGGATTTGGAGGCCAAAGTCTGCACTTAACATAGGATTGGGAGGCCAAAGTCTACACTTGACATAGGATTGGAATGTCAAAGTCTACACTTGACATAGGATTGGAATGTCAAAGTCTACACTTGACATAGGATTGGAATGTCAAAGTCTACACTTGACATAGGATTAGAATGCCATAGTCTACACTTTACATTAGATATGAGTGTAACTCAGTAGAATTACTTTGCATCACGTGTCAATCCATATTTATTACTTGATCAGATTGATTTTTGGAGCATTTTGAATAGCAAATTATAGACTCTACTCTTCTGCCTATGGCATTTGAAGTGGTAAAGTGGGGAAGTCTGTCAAAACAAAACCTATAGTTTGTATTGAATTGATTGGGATAGACTGAAATTTGTCAGATTTGCTTTGTCACAGGTGAAGTTTTGTGTAGATCAGATAATTTGTAGATAGTTGGTGACTTGGATAGGACAAATTTTGTTTGATTGATGGCTGTTTAATGTCCAGTGGCAAATATGTAATGCATATTCAGGACTATAACATGTTAATGAGATATAGATATATCCTTTTGTGTACAAGACCAACATAATTAGCCAGAATTTACTAAATGGCTTACAAGAAGTCTTCCTAGTTTGAATATTCAAATATTTTTCATGAAAAATGTGTATAATTACATATTTCATTCAATGAATTATGCCTTGATAGACACTATGTACAGAATACACATAAAACATGTAACACTTTATTTTGCAGATTGGTCAGGAGCTTCATTTCAAGATGAAAATTAATCATGCCAGAGGTCTTCCCCAGAATATCGCCAAAGTAAGATTTTCTTTTATTAATCATATTTGCTTACCTGGTCAAAAAGTCAGAATTCCACCAAACTTTCACAAATTGCTCTACAAAATATGAATTTTTGTACCTGCTAATTTATTTTAGGGTTTCCCATGACAAATGGCTTTTAATTATTTGGAGACAGATGGCAACAAACAGCTTCCTTGGAAGATTTAATGTGACACACATTTCAATATTTCAATTTTTAGTCTTCCCCTATGTATTCAATAATTACAATGTTCCACCAACTAAAAGTGCCATTTTATTAGAAAATTCACCCAAAACATTTGTACCACTGTGTTCCACCTGCTATTGCTGCTGTCAGTGTAAAAGTGTAATGTTGACTGTAAAAAGTGAGTCCATTTATCAGTAAAATACAAAATTTTTAAAAAATCAAACATTTTCTTCAATATTTATCTTAAAGATTAACTTCTATCCAAGTTTCATAACACTCCACAGTTGCCTATAATTGCTTACATCCACTTCATTTAAACACTGGTGGATAGTTCTCTTTGGCAATCATACCACATCTCCTTATTTTTACATGAAATTTTACCAATTTCTGAAAAATGAAAGAAATATATTTTGTCTTGGACATTATCTCATAATCATAAAAAACTTTTGCCAATGTTTTATATAATTCTATGAAGGTTGGACAAATTACCTGATGTGAAATTTAATAGTTGATAACTTCTATGTCATTTGGTCTCTCATACCACATCTACTTGTTCCTATATTTAACCCCAGACTGTATCTACTTGTTAACTGCAACAAAATTAAGTCCTTATATCAGTAAAGCAGTAAAATACGGAAAAATGAAAAAAAAATATTTTTGATTATTTTACTCTGGGAATTGTCTTTTGGTCTTTAAAAAACTTCTGTCTTATGTAGAATACCATGAAGGTTTAACAAAATTCTTGATGATTGAAAAACTTTTAACATTTGACTGCATCTTAATGTTAACTGGAAAAAAAATAAGTCCATTTATCAGGAAAATATAGAGAAATGAAAATAAAATTTTCAAAACTTTGCTCTAGATACTGTCTTTTGGTCATACAAGTAATAGCTTTTCGAAAAAAGCTAGCCGTCTCTTAGCTGATAAAAGTGGAAAGTGTTCTCGCTTTGTAGATTAATTCATTCAGAATAGCCTTGCATATTAATCAACACATTTTACCACACACGTTATGAAGCCGTAGTATATCGTTTAATGTTGTGTGTCAAATAAGGTCCTTATCGTATTAATCCTTCAAATCATGGTTGTAAATGCTTTACATGTTTGTCAAACAATTCATTCTCTCATCATGAAATATCATAACCATGTTCAAGTTTTCTTATATTTTTCATGTATAAAATGTACGTAACAGTGAACGACTGGATTCATGGATTGAATGTGAAACAATCATGTGCGTGTTAACAAAACATCAGGAGATTCCGCTATTTATAGATAAAGTTTACCTGTGTATCGACATGCATGATTTGTGACTAGGCAAGATTTAATTGCTAAAATAGAGAGTACAAATCCGATACTCTACGGGATTGAAAGACATTTACTAGGTTTGGATTGTCCCAACCAATCAACGAACTTTAATTATTCACGTCTCAGTAATATCTTCCAATCGGTAGTAAGAAGCATTCAGCCTGCAGATTGTCCATCGTTCAATTCTTAATAACGTCTCCGAGGAGACCTTAAAAAAAGCTTCTGTCCAAAATTTCATGAAGATTTGACAAAGTTATTAATGACTGAAAACTTTAACCTTAGACTGTATTTAATGTTAACTGTAAAAAAGTCATGTCCATCCAATTGTAAATTTCAGAAAAATGAAAATAAATTCTGAAACATTAAATTATGCTGAACAAAAATCATATAAATCCTATAGAGGGTCAATAAGTTCCAAATGATCTCCTTTAAAGTTTTAGGCTGAGAATTCAATGGTATTTGGTATGCATTTGTATAAGCATTAGCACTTCTCATTTCCAAAGAGGTTATTCAATCTTGACCCTGCAGCTTCAGTCATGGTTCATTGACTGAATGTTTTGCAAAGTTAACAAGTTAAAGTGTTGCCTTTTAAGCTCACCGGGGCCCGAAGGGCCCCATGTGAGCTTATGCCATCACTTGGCATCCGTCGTCTGTCGTCATCGTCTGTCGATGTAAACTATTTCAAAAATCTTCTCCTCTAGGAGTATCTAGTTTATAAAGTGTATCCGAAGTTTTGATCCATCGACAAACATGGCCGCCATGGCTAAAAATAGAACATAGGGGTCAAATGCAGTTTTTGGCTGATATCTCAAAAACTAGAGCTTTTAGAGCAAATCTGACATTGGGTAAAATTGTTCAATTGGTCAAGATCTGTCAGCTCTGAAATTTTCAGAGGAATGGAACAACCCATTGTTGGGTTGCTGCCACAGAATTGGTAGTTTTAACAAAATTTTGCAGTTTTTTGTTATTATTTTGAATATTATTATAGATATATATAAACTGTAAGCAGCAATAATGTTCAGCAAAGTAAGATCTACAAAAAAGTTAATATGACCGTAATTGTCAATTGACCCCTTAAGGAGTTATTGCCCTTTAAAGACAATTTTACACAATTTGTTCATCAAGTTTGCTAACATTTAAAAATCTTCTCTGAAACTACTGGGCCAATTACCTTCAAACTTTAACTAAATGTTCCTTAGGGTATCTTGTTTATAAATTATATCCGAAGTTTGTATCCATCGACAAACATGGCCGCCATGTCTAAAAATAGAACATAAGGGTCAAATGCAGTTTTTGGCTTATATCTCAAAAACTAAATCTTTTAGAGCAAATGTGACATGGGGTAAAATTGTTTAATTGGTCAAGATCTATCGGCCCTGAAATTATCAGATGTATCGAACAACCCATTGTTGGGTTGCTGCCACCGAATTGGTAGTTTTAATAAAATTTTGCAGTTTTTTGTTATCATTTTGAATATTATTATAGATAAATATAAACTGTAAGCAGCAATAATGTTCAGCAAAGTAAGATCTACAAAAAAGTTGATATGACCAAAATTGTCAATTGACCCCTTAAGGAGTTATTGCCCTTTAAAGACAATTTTACACAATTTGTTCATCAAGTTTGCTAACATTTAAAAATCTTCTCCTCTGAAATACAGGTGAGCCATTTAGGCTCTTGAGAGCCTCTTGTTAATTTCAACAGTTGCTTTATGCTATCAAAATTTTATAAAGGCGAGACATATTATTGCCAGTACAAAGTTAACTCATAATAAGGAATTAATTTCACCTTCTTTTACAGATTTATTGCCAGTACAAAGTTTATCCATAATAGTGATTTATTTGACCTTCTCTTACAGAGTTATTGCCAGTACAAAGTTTATCCATAATAGTGATTTATTTGACCTTCTCTTACAGAGTTATTGCCAGTACAAAGTTTATCTAGATAATGAATATGTGAAAACACCAGAAGTAGAAAGCATGAATCCAAACTTTACTCATGAAAAACTTTTCCATTTTAAACCAGTCACTCAGCAAGTAAGTATATAGGAACATAGATTTATTATACACTGGAATCAAAGTTCTATAATATGTCTAAAAGAATAGTTTAAACATAAGTCAATGAGACAGCAACCTAACAATACATATATAGACTAAAGACATCTAGTTATATTGATATTTTCTTATGTATAATAAATGTACTTTTACTAACTACAAGCAGATAGTAAAATATCTAAAATTTCAGTAACAATTGAGAAATAAAGGAAAAATGTTTTATAAAAATAATCGAATATTCTGAAAATCATTTTGAGTGTTTGCATTGATTGGATAATAAAGAATTTTATAGAACAGATAATGTGGCCTATAGATATAAGGTTGACTATATCTTGTATATGTGATTACAGTCTTTTGAAAAATAAGGGGCATATAAACTAGTCCCTTATTTAACATTAGTAAAGTTTTAATTAATACCTGTACATGTATTTCTATACTATAGCTTGTTGGCTACCTCCAAGATTCAGCCATAGTGATAGAAGTCTGGGGTAGACAGAAAGGAGAAGGGGGAAGTAAGGGAACTTCAGCACCAATTAAAGCACCAGCAAAAGTTGAGGTAAGATTAAAGCCAGGGTAGACAGAAAGGAGAAAAGCAAAGTAAGGGATCTTCAGCCACAACTGACGCAGTAGCAATAGTTGTGGTAAGGTTAAAGTCAGAGGTAGGAAGAAAGGAGGAGAGCAAAGAAAGAAATCTTCAGCCATAACTGAAGCAGAAGCAATAGTTGTGGTAAGATTTAAGTCTGGGGTAGACAGAAAGGAAAAGGGGAAGGGAGGGATCTTCAGCAACAACTGAAGCAATAGCAATAGTTGTGGTAAGGTTAAAGTCAGAGGTAGACTGAAAGGAGGAAAGCAAAGTAAGAAATCTTCAGCCACAACTGAAGCAATAGCAATAGTTGCAGTAAGATTTAAGTCGGGGGTAGACAAAAAGGAGAAAAGGGAAGTAAGGGATCTTTAGGTACGGTTCAAGTCTTAGTAGACAGAAAGAAAACTGGAGAAGTAAGGGATCTTCTGCACTGGTGAACAAACCAGCTAAAGTTGGGGTATGGTTAAAGTCTTAGTTGACAGAAAGATATCTTGAGAAGTAAGGGATCTTCTGCACTTTTGAACAAACCTACTGAAGTTGGAGTATGGTTAAAGTCTTAGTAGACAGAAAAGAAGCTAGAGAAGGGTCTTTTGCATCCATTAAAGCATTAACTTAACAGAAGGTTTGATTAAGAATTGAGGCAGACATAATTTAGATGGGGAAGTCTGCACCAGACGAAGAATCAATTGAAGTTGAGGAAAGTTTTAGTAGACAGTTTGAAATATAGAGTAAATTTCTCTCAGCATTTTCCACAAAATAAACAGCCCTCTTTGTTCAATACATTGCCATTTTGTCACTTACTAACTTGGTTAAATTTTTGTAATCATATGCTCTCGCTCTGCAAATACTTTTTTTCATTAGATATTTAACAGTTTTTCTTATTTATTATATTTGAAGAAGAATTTTAATTCAAACTTCTGTATTGTTACTTTTGTTAACTAGTATATAGTTTTGACATATCGAAATTTATAATGGCAAACTGTGATTGTATTAATTTTCTCAGCTATCTAATTTTGATTCAGAAAAAAGAACAACAGACAAAGAAGGATGTAGGACCAGCCAAGCCTGCTGTTGCAGCATCTGCTGCGACTGTATCAAACAATGATACTCAGACCAAGAAAATGGCAGATGAGGTTAACATGTACAAGAAAAAAGCTGCTGACTCGGAAAAGAAAATGGTAAGTTTTCAGACTAATTCTAGAAGCTTGTCATTCAAATGATGTCTATGTTTGGCATATTTTCCCACTTTCATATCATTTTCCATGCACATTGTTACTCCAGTATTTATTTGAAGCAATTTCTAGGAAGAAATAGAGAATACTATTTTATAACAGAATTCAATGAAATGTACAAATCAAAAGTCTATTTCACAAATTGGCTTTCTTGCATAAAACTAAACAAAACAAAAGACCAAAATACTGTATGATATTTCAAACAATCTTATGCTTACAAAAAGCAAACAATAGACTGTTCTTGTTCTTGTTTGTCTTTTGACAGATTCAAAATAATGAAGTTCCTTGGTAAATGTTATCTTCTGAGTAAGAAAAAGAGTAGCAACTATTGAGTAGATATTGTTATATTTAGCTTTGTATTAACAGTTTGGTCCAGCCTAATCAGGTTTCCAGCATTTAAAGCTCAAGAGTATATAATTTCTCATTAGATTGATCTCAATGAAATACTGTGATTTCCACTCAAATAAAAACTGATAATTTTACATGAGACAAAAGATACCAAAGGGATATTCAAACTCATAAGTCCAAAACAAACTGACAATGCCCTAGCAAAAAAAGAAAAATGACCAAAATACACACAACAGTACACAAAAGGGTAAGCAGATCCTGCTCCACATGAGGCATCTGTTGTTTTGCTCATTTAAGTTCAAACTCTGTGATAAGTCTAAATCAGTAGGTCACATTTGAGGAAAAGAGGACAGGATTGTGGTTACAACAATTCCAACATATCCATATATATTGCAGTCCACTAACTTGTGATGCAGTCCGTAGCATTTTCGAAGGGATAATTTCATCCTCATCACTTGGAACTGTTGTTTTAATAGCTTCCTTATAAGCAGTTCCTTGTAAGCAGCAACACGTTATCATGGAAATCATGATATGAAATGCAAGCTCTGGAATATTGTATCAGGAGATCAAATATCTACAATTCATTTCTGCTTTTAACTTAGAAACGCCTTGGAGTAATGAAACTTGATATGCTGTGCTCTTACGTGCCTGCAAACATTTTTAACCCTGCCCATTCTGTATAAGCCTGTCCCAAGTCAGAGCCCTTAATTCAGACATTGTTGTTTGTTGCTGTATGTCATATTTGTGAATTGTTTATTGTTTTACATTTTTCATTTCGGGGCCTTTTATAGCTAGCTATGCAGTATGGGTTTTGCTCATTGAAGAAGGCCATACCTATAGTTCCTTACCTTCTACATCATTTTATCTCTGGTAGAGAGTTGTCTTATTGAAAATCATGTGTCAATTTTTTTTTTTATGATAAGTCATCCCTCCTAGAAGATGTATAACATACAAGAAAGAAAAACATACAGTGAAAGTCAGGGTCAAAAAATTACTTCATATGTGCATATGTACAAAAATCCTTTCCACTCTAACTATCATATCCTTGGAGTTCAGTTATAAAACTTAGGATGATACTGTGAAAATCTTGGTCAAAATCTGTGCATATACATTAAATCTTGTTTCCCCTTTCTAACTTAAAAACCCCTTGGTTAATAAAACCTGAAATGATTAATCATCACTTCATAAAGGTGAAAAAAGGAATTAAATTATACATTGAAAAATAAACCTAGTTCAACTAAGTCACCCCTGTTCTGTCTGTCTGTGATGTACAAATATTTGTTCAGCTCCCTAACTTTAAGACCCCTTGGAGTTTTGGGATGCAATAATAATGCATCAGTAACATTACAGCCTTCTGTGGATATTACCCTGATTACATCTAATTTGCATCACAATTTACCTGTTTACTTGCTTGTCTGTCTGTGATGGCTCCTCCACAATTTACCTGTTTACTTGCTCGTCTGTCTGTGATGGCTCCTCCACAATTTACCTGTTTACTTGCTTGTCTGTCTGTGATGGCTCCTCCACAATTTACCTGTTTACTTGCTCTTCCGTGTGTGATGGCTCCACCATGATTTATCTGTTTACTTGCTTTTCTGTCTGTGATGGCTCCTCCACATTTTACCTGCTTACTTGCTCGTCTGTCTGTGATGGCTCCTCCACATTTTACCTGCTTACTTGCTTGTCTGTCTGTGATGGCTCCTCCACAATTTACCTGTTTACTTGCTTGTCTGTCTGTGATGGCTCCTCCACATTTTACCTGCTTACTTGCTCGTCTGTCTGTGATGGCTCCTCCACAATTTACCTGTTTACTTGCTTGTCTGTCTGTGATGGCTCCTCCACATTTTACCTGCTTACTTGCTCGTCTGTCTGTGATGACTCCTCCACAATTTACCTGTTTACTTGCTTTTCTGTCTGTGATGGCTCCTCCACATTTTACCTGCTTACTTGCTTTTCTGTCTGTGATGGCTCCTCCACAATTTATCTGCTTACTTGCTCGTCTGTCTGTGATGGCTCCTCCACAATTTACCTGTTTACTTGCTTTTCTGTCTGTGATGGCTCCTCCACAATTTACCTGTTTACTTGCTTTTCTGTCTGTGATGGCTCCTCCACAATTTACCTGTTTACTTGCTCGTCTGTCTGTGATGGCTCCTCCACAATTTACCTGTTTACTTGCTCGTCTGTCTGTGATTGCTCCTCCACAATTTACCTGTTTACTTGCTCATCTGTCTGTGATGGCTCCTCCACAATTTACCTGTTTACTTGATCGTCTGTCTGTGATGGCTCCTCCACAATTTACCTGTTTACTTGCTCTTCCATGTGTGATGGCTCCACCATGATTTATCTGTTTACTTGCTTTTCTGTCTGTGATGGCTCCTCCACAATTTACCTGTTTACTTGCTTGTCTGTCTGTGATGGCTCCTCCACATTTTACCTGCTTACTTGCTCGTCTGTCTGTGATGGCTCCTCCACAATTTACCTGTTTACTTGCTTTTCTGTCTGTGATGGCTCCTCCACAATTTATCTGCTTACTTGCTCGTCTGTCTGTGATGGCTCCTCCACAATTTACCTGTTTACTTGCTCGTCTGTCTGTGATGGCTCCTCCACATTTTACCTGCTTACTTGCTCGTCTGTCTGTGATGGCTCCTCCACATTTTACCTGCTTACTTGCTCGTCTGTCTGTGATGGCTCCTCCACAATTTACCTGTTTACTTGCTTGTCTGTCTGTGATGGCTCCTCCACAATTTACCTGTTTACTTGCTTGTCTGTCTGTGATGGCTCCTCCACAATTTACCTGTTTACTTGCTTGTCTGTCTGTGATGGCTCCTCCACATTTTACCTGCTTACTTGCTCATCTGTCTGTGATGGCTCCTCCACAATTTACCTGTTTACTTGCTTTTCTGTCTGTGATGGCTCCTCCACATTTTACCTGCTTACTTGCTCGTCTGTCTGTGATGGCTCCTCCACAATTTATCTGTTTACTTGCTTTTCTGTCTGTGATTGCTCCTCCACAATTTACCTGTTTACTTGCTTGTCTGTCTGTGATGGCTCCTCCACAATTTACCTGTTTACTTGCTTTTCTGTCTGTGATGGCTCCTCCACAATTTACCTGTTTACTTGCTTGTCTGTCTGTGATGGCTCCTCCACAACTTACCTGTTTACTTGCTTTTCTGTCTGTGATGGCTCCTCCACAATTTACCTGTTTACTTGCTTGTCTGTCTGTGATGGCTCCTCCACAATTTACCTGTTTACTTGCTTTTCTGTCTGTGATGGCTCCTCCACAATTTACCTGTTTACTTGCTTGTCTGTCTGTGATGGCTCCTCCACAATTTACCTGTTTACTTGCTTTTCTGTCTGTGATGGCTCCTCCACAATTTATCTGTTTACTTGCTTTTCTGTCTGTGATTGCTCCTCCACAATTTACCTGTTTACTTGCTTGTCTGTCTGTGATGGCTCCTCCACCATTTTACCTGCTTACTTGCTCCTCTGTCTGTGATGGCTCCTCCAGGATTTACATGTTTACTTGCTTGTCTGTCTGTGTTGGCTCCTCGAGGATTTACATGTTTACTTGCTCCTCTGTCTGTGATGGCTCCTCCAGGATTTACATGTTTACTTGCTCCTCTGTCTGTGATGGCTCCTCAACAATTTACCTGTTTACTTGCTCGTCTTTCTGTGATGGCTCCTCCACGATTTACCTGTTTACTTGTCTGTCTATCTGTGATGGCTCTTCCACAATTTACCTGTTTTATTGCTTGTCTGTCTGTGATGGCTACTCTCTGATCACTATCCTTTAGGTAAATTGTGAAATCCTCTTATGAGAATTAATGTTTTGTGTGCCCACTTGTTAGATATTTTGGGATATTTGAGTTCTTGTATTATTTATTTTATGATTACAGCAATTTTTGTTTTAAACATTCTGTATAGTTGTGTATTTTAATAATGTAAATACATCATTCATTGTGTTGAATTAAGATTTTTCTTTAGGCACAATTGAAAATTTATACATTTGCCTTTCTTTATTTATTAACGTTTATAAGAGATTGATTTAAATTAATGTATTGCATGTGTCAGTCTCTTTTTGTTGTTATAGGGATGAGTAATAAGTGTTGTATAATTGGAGATATAAAAATAGTCTTAACTGGATGAGTTTGGGAAGATCTTCCTTGGCTCGGTCGATTAGAGTGCTGCCTTTAGATCCCCAGATTGTGGTCTCTAATCCTGCTGGTACCATCCATGTATTTTCACGATATAATTGTAGTAATGTGTCTTTTTTACAGACTGATGTTCAACAGTTCTTGGCTAACAAGAAAAACCAAGGAGTTACCCAGATTTCTGTAAGTAATTTATTAAACAATTAGGGAGTGCTTTTACATAGAAAAGGGAGAAGAAATAAAGACATTATTCGTCATATTTTTGTGTTATATTGAATTGTTGGCACATCATCTTTTGATGTATTCAGATTTCAATATAAACCTAATATTTTGTTACCCTTTATATGTAAAAAAAATGTTTCAAAACAGTTCCTTTTAAAAAAATAGGCTCCTGACTTGGGACAGGCGCAAAAATGTGGCGGGGTTAAACATGTTTTGGGAGATCTCAACCCTCCCCCTATACCTCTAGCCAATGTAGAATAAAGAAACACATAGCAATACGCACAGTAAAACTCAGTTTAAAAGAGTCCGATGTCAGAATAGGTAACAAAAGAAACTAAGCAAAATGACAATGATACATAAATGAACAAAGGACTACTAGCAGTTACTGACATGCCAGCTCCATACCTCAATTAAACTGATTGAAAGATTATGTCTTCATCATATGAAAATCAAGTACAATCCCTCCCGTTAGGGGTTTAGTATCATAACCCCTATCATGCCAACAACTAGTTTTAGAATTAATGTGTTTATTTCCGATGCAAAGACCCAATGAGTGAATCAATATTAATACCAAAATTTGCAATTCTTAATGACTTGACAACAGTATCGTAACTATAACCTTTCCGAATAAGTCTGTTTAAAGGTTTGGTTAGCTTTTGAGGTGAATGCCGACATTTTTGTGCTTTGTAAAGAGTATTACCATAAAATATTGGATGTGAAATACCTGAACGTATAAGATGTCTGCATGTTGATTTATATTTACGAATGATGTCCTTGTACCGATGATAAAATTTAGTAAATGTTTTGACTCTTTTGTGATATTGAAAACCCTGATGTAATAATTTTTCAGTAATACAGAGATTTCTTTCGTTGAAATCAAATACTTTGTTATATACACGAGCGAATCGAACAAGTTGAGATATATAAACACCATAAGATTGCGACAAGACAGGAACTGGTACTGGATCAGTATTATACCCAGTGCAACATATTCTGTATCCTGAAGGATTTTTAAGTTCTTGATAAAATGTCCTAATCATGAAAACCATTAAAATTAAAATAAGAAGATGGTGTATCAGCGCCAATGAGAAAAATATTCACCATGTGAAAGCAAATATAGGTCAAAGTACGACCATAGTTGAAATGATCCCTTACTAAAACACTTTGATCCTAGTCATTTCTAAATCAAATTCTGAAATGTGGTGACCCCTAATAGATAGTATGAAATTGTAATAAAGTAATGAAAAGATAATATGAAATAACTGGTTGTCTTCTGACAAAGTAATCAAGGATAACATGAAATTACTGGTTGTCTTTTGACAAAGTAATCAAAGAAAACATGAAATTACTGGTTGTTTTCTGACAAAGTAATCAAAGATAACATGAAATTACTGGTTGTCTTCTGACAAAGTAATCAAAGAAAACATGAAATTACTGGTTGTCTTCTGACAAAGTAATCAAAGATAACATGAAATTACTGGTCGTCTTTTGACAAAGTAATCAAGGATAACATGAAATTACTGGTTGTCTTCTGACAAAGTAATCAAAGATAACATGAAATTACTGGTTGTTTTCTGACAAAGTAATCAAAGATAACATGAAATTACTGGTTGTCTTCTGACAAAGTAATCAAAGAAAACATGAAATTACTGGTTTTCTTCTGACAAAGTAAGCAAAGATAGCATGAAATTACTGGTTGTCTTTTGACAAAGTAATCAAGGATAACATGAAATTACTGGTTGTCTTCTGACAAAGTAATCAAAGAAAACATGAAATTACTGGTTTTCTTCTGACAAAGTAATCAAAGATAACATGAAATTACTGGTTGTCTTCTGCCAAAGTAATCAAAGATAACACTTAATAATGTAAAAGTTTTGTAGCAACTGAGGACATATTTTCGAATGAAAAACAAAAATAATTGATTGTTATTTTAAATTTTCAGATATCTGATTTAGAGTCCTTATTAGGAGGAAGTGTTCCACCAGGTGGAGGAGGAAACAACAATTCCTCTGCCTGCACTGTACAGTAATCATCTGTCTACAACTAACTATACAGACGTAACTCTGGAAGGATGGAGCAATGTTACTGCTCATGTTAGACTGAATATTAATTGCAATATTTGAATATTTGTTCTAAATAGGATATAATATTTCAGGAAATAGTAAATAACTTTCGTTACCAATTAGTTGTTTTTTGAATTGTTTAACTTGTCTTTGTGAAGATTTAACGAGCTGGATTCAATTAAAGCTTTACAAAGACATGCTCTACAAGGAAATGGAGTACAATTCTTTGAATTGTTAAAACTGTGATAATTCTTTGTGCTTTATAATTCATAAAAAAATTCAACATTATTTAGTCTTTCAGTTTAAATCTTGTAAAATAATTTAATTTGTATAAATTTATATTGTCTGTTTTGTTTTTAAGTCTTATTCTAAAGGTTGCACATGGTAAGTGTTAATTTTGCCAAAACTAAAAAATGGTCAGTGTACAATTATCAGGTTAATTAAATCAGCTACTTGTTAATGTAGTGTTGAGATGTTAATCAAAAGTGTATATTTCTTTGGTCCTCACTGACTTTAACATTAATAAATCAAAACAGTTCAGGATATTTTCTAACCATTATCTCTCATGATAGATTAGTACTGGGAGAATTTATCATGTATGTTTCCCTTAATAGATGGAATTTTCATTCATGTTTGCAATTTTATGTCATAATGGTGATGGGCATTTTGAAATATTGTGCTTAAGCAATGTATGTCTCTTTATTCTTCATATAAATGATTTTTTTACAAATCAAATGTCTCAATTTTATATTTTCAAAGCTATCCCACATCATGTAATATATATGTGTGAGCTCCTAAACAGATAATTGTGTATGCACATATAAGCTCAAAATCTCTTAATGTTCAGTGGAATCTGATTTATAAATACAAAGTGTTTTTTGTTTTTCTGAAGACAAGAAAAGTTACTATTTATTTCTTTTTACACATATTTCCTATGAATTTCTTTTTACACTACCTTTCCTATGAATTTCTTTTTACACTAACTTTCCTATGAATTTCTTTTTACACTACCTTTCCAATGAATTTCTATAGAAGATCCAGTGAATAAAAAATATTTTAGTTAGACAAGAATTTATAATATACATCTGTGCACATAATGAACATTTTCCCTGTTCACACATTTTAGAAATATTTTGATTTGGTAAAAAATGTGTTGATAAACTGGTTTGTTCAGTACAGATGATAAGATTGATATTTAGAAATGTTGTATATATTTAACTGTTTTTTGTAAGAAGTATATAGTTTAAAGGATGCAATATCATGGTGCAAGAAAGAAAATTACAATCAAAAATATTTTCTACACATTTTATAACCTTTTGATAATTGATTTTTTATTTGCAAATGTTTGTAATTTTTTCATAATCTTTAAGACTAATTTAGGAAAGGAAATTGTTGCTTTGCTAGTTTGTAGTTTAAGAAACAATTTTTCAACAGATGTTATTAATAGTTGCCTTGATTTGTAGTTCCTATGTTGGCTTTTAGTCCTATTAAGCATAATACATGTCAGGTTTTAAATGATGACTGCTATTTTTCATGAGTTATTCCCTTGAAAAAAGAAAAATCAGCTGTTTTGATGGTTCAAGAATATGTTTATAGGTTTGTTTTGAATCAATAATTCTTATATGTTAAAAACTACCACACACTACAAAATCAGGTCAAGTACTAGTGTTTTTATGGTTCAAGAAAACAACCTTTGAAAAAATGAAAATATCCAAAATTTATGAATTTTAAACCTTGGACATGCCATAAAAATGTACTTGGAAATTAAGAAAATGTCCTGTATATAGACCGTGAAAAATGTTTGCGAATCTGTTTGTATATGCTAATCCCTTTAATACTGTATTTAATGAAAGGTAGGCATTATGTTTTCCATTCTGTATCAGGTAATGTTTTGGTTTACGGTAATTTTCCATCAAGGTATGGTCACATCAATTGGAAACTTAGTACACCTGTTCATTATGATATGAAACTTTTGATTATATGCCAAATTAGGAATTTTGCCAAGATTTTTCAGTTTTCTTTCCATAAAAATGTGAAAGTGTGAGCAGGGCACAGTGTCCCTTAAAAATATAGTCTTGTTTACCTTTGTATTTATAACCTGTTAATTATGACAATCTACACATTTTTATACACGCACTATATGATACACACAATCTTATCCTGTTAGATGATCATATTTCTGAATTAGTATAGTATGGTAAGTATAGCTTTTCTATATATGCATAAGTATTCAGAATTTATGTGCATGTTATTTTACTTATGTTGAACTGTTCATACTTTTTTTATTTGTTAATTTTCTGTTTAGTCAAGTTATTGTATTTTCTGTTACCATTTACTTGAAATAATGTGGCCAATGCAGGAAATAATGTGGCCAATGCAGGAAAACACTTTTTGTCACTTATTGAAAATGTAGGAAAAAAAATGAAATCAACATGTTATTAATTTCATGCTTCCGAAGCGCTTTTTTGGATTTACCTTTATCAGAAATGCTCAAAGCCAAATGTTTGAGAGCCTAGGATGTATAAGAACCAAAACAGTTGAAGAGCTATATTACCAAAAAGTACCCAAAAATTAGCCAAATTCATCTACGGTCAACTTTTCCTGAGGGAGTTGAAACCTTAGTTTCTTTATAATTTAAAAATTTATAAACAGACAATTTTAGAGATATTTTCGGTACTGACTACTGAGTTGATGATACCATTGGGGACTGAAAGTCCACCAGCAGAGGTATCAACCCAGTGCTGTAAAAAATGAAAAAAAAATATGTTATTTATTTCATGCGTCCGAAGCACTTTTCTGGATTTACCTTCATCAGGAACGCGCAAAGCCAAATATTTTAAAGCCTAGGATGTATAAGAACTGAAACAGTTGAATAGCTATATGAACAAAAAAATACCTAAAAATTAGCCGAATTCATCTACAAATTAATTTAGAGTGAGCATCTGGTAATTTCAAGTCATTTGTGGTGGTTTGTATTTTCATAGAATAACCCATTTTCCTTAATCAAGAAGAAGTATGATTATTTGTAAATGATTCTAAAACACTTCACATGGGTTAGAGTAGGCCAAAATGAATATGACTTTAAAAGTAACACAGTGGTGTCTTTTATTAAAATTATGTTACATTTATTCATCACTTTAATTTTTGAAGGGTCTTTAGCTTGAACAAAACACAGGCAGCATTCAAAATCACCAAATCTGAACAAATAACAATTTTTGTTTTGTAGTCTATATTTTATTAAACAATGCTATCAAAAGAAGAAAGAGAATTCTAATGAAATATTATAATTTGATATTTATCAGTAAATAGTGGAATTTTAAATTAAAATTTCATATTAATGTTGATAAGGTAATTGATTGTCATTTAGTTTGGGAAGAACAAACATAGCAATACATAAATCAAACTTCCCAAAAGCAAGTTTACTCTTACTTCTTGCTTGTAGTACTTAATAATCCACACCCCTGACTGGCAATTTTAATTTTGGAGTAAAAAACTGCAGGTTATACATCCCTGAATATGGTGATCAACAACTGATACTATAATAGTTTTTTTTCAGAAAAAAAATCATGAACAGTTTAATAAAATCAGCTGGTATTAGAAAATAATTCAATTAATTATAAATGTTTTTGTAAAGTGTCTGACATTACAATTATATGAGGCATTACTATTATCTAATAACCTGGGAAAAGAATTGTAAGGAAACTTCTGTTGTGAAATTATAAAATGTAAAGTTCAGTTGATTAAGCATTAGTTCCAATTATTACAATAAATGTGGACTGGTGTAAGCTTTTTATTTTAGTGAGTTGAATGATGGTGTTTTTCTTTGATATAGATTTTTCTTTGTATTTTATTCTATTTTGCTGTAAAAAGAAAATGAAAAACCCACCACAAATAATTCAAAATTCCTCCAAAGGCCAAATTTCAACAACTACTTGTGCATTGAGGCCTAAACTTTTTATAGTATACACCAACACATATTCCAATCTAATGTTTGCAAAAAGATTTGTCCCTATTGGTGCAGAACTAATACTTTATGAACAATACTAATTTTTATAGAGACATTAAAGGAGAAGGTATGTTTTGGCCTGTTATGATCATATATATCTCTTCACATGTTTAGGTAATTATACATTCTTGGCTATCAACTTTTGTGGTATGGGTGTTCCTGGTGATGATAAATGTGGTATGGGTGTTCCTGGTGATGATAAATGTGGTGTGGGTGTTCCTGGTGATGATAAATACTTCCACAAATTTAAAAAAAATTATTTTCATTTTATTTTTTTAATTGATTAGCCTTGCAAGTGCACCAAAAACTTTAAAAAATGTATTGTACCATACTTGTGCATTATTTTTAAAGTCTAAATAATGGCTTAAAGAATATAAAAATATTAATTTAGACTTTTTGAAATAATTTGAATGTGACCTCATTCGGGAGATTCACTAGATATTAACATAAAATAGGCGATTGTTAGGAAAATTTTTAAAAGACTGCACAACTGTAACAGGGAGTAAAGAATAACAAACTACACTACCTGTGTTAATACATTTTACCTGTCTTAATACATTTTGGGGGAGGGATGTATTCTTCATTATTTCTCAGCATCTGTGAAACTGTCATTATATTTTTTTTGTTTTGTCAACATTTTATTGAATTTACTTTATGACAATAGCTAAAGACACTTTAGTTTTAACAGCAATGAAGTTCATAGGTTCAACATTTTATTCTGCAAATTGCAGGAATTTTGAAAGGTGTTTGATTTAAGGCCCAATATAGTCCCAAATTAAACCTTCTTTCTATTTTTATACATATATATATAATCTTTGTTCTCTGTTAATATTTATGATGAAATTATATTTTTTGTCTATATATTTTCCGTCCATGGTTGAAATTATTCATAGTTTTTTTTTTAGTTTTAAACTGTAAAATGAAAAATTATTCCCTCCAAACTTTTTTCATAATTCAGTTAGTCAGAGATTGTTAATCTACCTCATAGATTAAATAGTTAGATTTAGATCAAACAAATTTTATACAAAGAGTGTTACCTTAACATTAATTGATAGTAAACTTGTCACTGGCACGACTTGTAAGAAATTACATGTATTGTAGAATAAAAACTGCTGTTATAACAGAAATAAAAATTGTTAAGTGAAATGTCTACCATGCAGAGTAGAAGCATAATAAAGATTCTGAAGATGGCTAGTGGGCGAAACTTCTATAAAATGGTTTAACTACTACAATGATGTAAAATATCTTATCTATTCACATTTCTACACAAGAACTTAGTTGAGCCAGCTGGAAACTGTTTTAACCATTCTATTTTACATACGTCTCTACCACTAACCTTGCTTTCACATGTATGTATGTTTATAATCTATTTTATAGTTAATGAAATGTACAGAGAATTTTACATCTGAATATCAGTGTGTTTATACAAGATCTGTGATGGAATTATACTTTATTGTAACAGAAACTTATTTACAATCTGTCTTGTTGATCATATATAATTATATAATAAAAGTCTGTTTCATTTTGTGAAATTGTGAATCAATTATTCATCCAGATATCCAAAGTTCAAACTTATTGATCTACATTTTTTCTTTGATTGATTGGGAAATGACTTATATCTTTTTATGACCCACCTACGATAGTAGTAGGGGTACTATTTTTTTCTTGTCTGTGCGTCCGTTCGTTTGTCCGTCCGTTCGTCCGTCCATCCGTCTGTCCTGCTTCAGGTTAAAGTTTTTGGTCAAGGTAGTTTTTGATGAAGTTGAAGTCCAATCAACTTGAAACTTAGTACAGATGTTCCCTATGATATGATCTTTCTAATTCAAATGCCAAATTAGAGTTTTGTCCCCAATTTGACGGTCCACTGAACATAGAAAATGATAGTGGGAGTGGGGCATCCGTGTACTATGGACACACTCTTGTTTGTATAATCACCTGAGATCTATTCTACAAATGCTTTTCAAACTTTAATATATTGTTCCTAATGACAAAAGTTTGATGACAATTTTTACATTTGCGATGCAGTAGTTATGTCCTTGATTAATTGGAAAAGAGAGGCGAAATATATCAAAGGGACATTCAAACTCCTAAGTTGAAAATAAACTGACAACAAAAATGTCACTTCATGTCAACTCCCTGTAATAACTGGAGAACGCTATATTTAATATCTTTTTAAATTTTAATATGTTGTTACTGATGAGAAAAAGGAGGTCAAGATTAGCTTTGAGTAAACTGATTAGAAAAAGGAGGTCAAGATTGGCTTTGAGTAAACTGATGTAGTTTGTAACATTCCTTTCCTTTTCTTAGTTTTAAAACGGAGTATTTCATATAAGTGATGAATAGATGCAGCCAACTTGGAAGATACATTTAAAGAGACGATACTGCATTGTAAGCGTCTCAATAATAATTCATATGAACTACATACTGTAAACCTTTTATATCTGTACACGAAAACACGATAGAATCACTATATACAAAAGGATGATAATGCTTAAGATGTCAATAACATAACATAGGAAGACAGTCACCAATTTGGGCACATATATCTTTAATAAATAAAGGTGAACTAAATTCCTCCCAATCAGAATGAAGATTAGGCGCATCTGTTTCAGGAACGATTTGGTCATTCAAGATTAAGGGGGAAATTCGAGATGTACAACTAGGGAAGGCCATTTTCCATTTTGATAAGTTGTGTCGTTGCCATTAAAACAGTGTTGGTGTACTTTGAAATCTTTCGGAAGAAAACGGGTAAAACAGTTGAGACAAAGTTCATCAGTACAAACATCTCCTTTACAATTGGATAATATAAGTTAGTCTTTCTTTACTAAAATTTAATCTGATTTTCAAAAAAGTTTATCTGTTTTCCCATATCTTATTTCCTAACACTACTGTCCAGGCCACATTCACCTACTGCAACGACTTTTTCAGCTTTCAACATATATTCCAAATCTGAAATCAAATTATTGAGAGTCAAATTTCCATCTAATTCCGCTGTTCTATGATGAATGCCGATTATTTCTGTTCTATAGTCACTTGATAGCCAGCTTCTTGGATGACAATAATTGCTAATTAGATACGAGATTCGTAAAAGAGGGAGACGAAAGATACCAGAGGGACAGTCAAACTCATAGATCGAAAACAAACTGACAACGCCAAGGCCAAAAATAAAAAGACAAACAGACAAATAATAGTACAGATGACACAACATAGAAAACTGGGGGTGATCTCAGGTGCTCCGGAAGGGTAAGCAGATCCTGCTCCACATGTGGCACCCGTCGTGTTGCTTATGTTATTACAAATCCGGTAAATAGTCTTAATTCGGTAGGTCACATTCGTGAAAAGGAAAGGGTATTGTAGTTACGACATAAGGGACATATCCGATATCATCTGTGAAACGGTTATTTCATAACGGTCAACCAACTCGTAAATCTGTGCGTTCCCACCTAATGAATTAGTGGATGATATGACAGTGCTTAATTTCTTTGAAAAAATATCCATCTGTAAAAGAGAATGTATCAAATTAAACACCTTTGTTTCCTCATTGGTTGAATTTGAAGTTATCGTTTGTTCTGTAAAAATTATGTTTTCACCATTTTCTGCTTTCAGGATGAGTAATGCCAAAATTGCAGTGCAGCAGTAAAAGTATACTGAACGGAGGTTTTGCATTAACATTTCTACTCTCAAACTCAAATGAGTATTTATTAACACAATTGAATAATGACAAGAGTTTTAAGGTAGATTAAATGTATACCGCCGTCTTGGATTGTAAAATTAGCAATACACAATCTGTCGTATTCTTTGCTTTAATTTCCAAATTTGAGACATATTGACATTGAATGTGTAAGACTTTTTTTTTAATAAAGAAAAATAAGTGATTTATTGCATTATTTAGACAGTTTTAACAAATACCAAATATTTGTGTTTGTTTGGATCAATTTTTCTATTAAGCCATTTAAGGGGAGCTAACTCTAAATGTAAAAATTTTGTAATGGAATGTTACTTTACTTGTAGCAAAAAAATAAGTTCGGTGACACCATTTTTTCTTTTTTTATTTTCTTAAAGCATATTATAAAACCTATCTTATTTTATTCCAAAGTTCTATCTAATAGATTTCTTTTTATTCACTAACATAAATATTTTTCATGAATGATCTTTGCAAAACTGGGCCATTTTGCACGACTTGTAGCTTGAAAAATTACACGGTGACCCATACTTTTCATTATATTTTTCGAAAATAGCATAGTAAAATCTACATATTGGCAAAGTGTAAGAAAATTCTATCTAAGGAAATAAATACCGATGATCTACCTCAAATCATTTCTCTGAAAGATAGGTTCTGAATGCTTTTGAAACACAACTTTTGTCTTCGAAATAACAGAGATCTTTTGTCTTCGAAATAACAGAGATCTTGTAAAGAAATTCAGTCAAGTTCCTTGGAAATTATATCGAATAAACCATTCATTAATTGAAACTATTTTTACGACAACCTCAGTTATATGTGTTGCTATCGGAAAACACTCCAACCACTCGTTGTATTGATCAATATCATTTTACTCCATAGGAACACCAGCGTGGTATTGCTCTAACTTCGCTCTCGTTGTTCTTGTCAGTTTTTTTATTATGTTGCATACAGCACATGATTTTACATACAATTTGTAGTCCTGTGACATATTGTACTATACAACTATTTGCCTCAATTTTTCTAAAGTTTTGTACTTTCTCAAACTACCAGAAGATATCATATCATGACATCTATGAAGAAGTTCATCTTGCATTTGTTTCGAAGCCATGCAGAGTAACCTTGGCGAAACAGGATCATCCCACTTATAAAATAAAACATTATTTTTTATCACTTGTTGCTGTCTTAGAGACCACAAATGTCAAACTACTTTACTACTAAGATGGAGCTCCAATTTAGATGGCTTGTGTTCCATGTCTACCTATTTTTTTCAATGTCTTTAAATTTCATCTGTTCTTCGTTCAATTATATAAAAAAATATGAAGTGACCAGTGGGTGTCGTAATAATTTTCTCCGGTAACTCGTCTGGTTGTTAAAGGAATGACAAACTCCACTTCCTCCATTGTTGCCTTGCCTTCGTACAGAAGTTGCAACCATCACAAGGTAACTCTTTTAAGTTGACGTATTATCTATAGTTACTGCATGACTCTACCTCGTCAGATATTCCGGACAACCCATCTGCATTGACGTGTTTCTTGCCAGCTCTGTGTTGTGTTACCATGTTATATTGAGACAGTTCTGCAATCCATCTTGCTAATTGCTCTAAATATTTATGAAATTCAATAACCAAGTCAAGCTGTTGTGATCTGTCCTCATTACATAGGTACGACACAACAAGTAGTGACGAAATTGTCTAGTGAGGGCAAACGATGACCAGTAGTTCTTTCCGAGTAGTACAATATTTTTCGTTGAGTCGGTGTTAAAACCTTACTGGCAATCTAATTGTCTTTTCCATTCTAACTTGTACCTGGTTAAATTCTGCTCCAATAGATTTTTGTGAAGCTTTGGTATCGAGTATAAATAACTCAGTATCAAGGCGTTTATCAAAGATTCTGTAAGAATACGGAATGACTATGTCTGTTCTTCACTCCATTTAAAATCTGATTTTGGGCCAGAAAGTCGATGTAAAGGCTCTGAAAGATCAGCAAATAGTTTCATGTGGTCACGATGGTAGTAAACGAATCTTGTCCTAAAGAATGGCATCGTCTAGATACGCCAATAATTTTTTTTTGTAGATGGGGTCTTGAATAACAAGATGAATTACTCTGCTGAGCGTTGCGGGAGTGTTACAAAGACCAAACGGAAGTTTTGTAAACTCAAGGTCGTATTTCAAATCAGGAATATGACAGTTGTTTTCCAATAGTTTGATGTGTTTGAGCTTTTGATTTTGCCATTTGATAAAGGACTTTCCGTTTTGAATTTTCCTTTGGAGCTCGGTACTTTTGTTATTTTTACTTTTTTCGTCACAAATGCTGTGTTGTGTCTTCTTTTCGTCAAGCTGCTTGGTAATTCCAGAGACCATATCCAGTGTTGACATAAAACGGTTCCTCTCAGAGTATCAAGGCAGGTTTTTGTTTTTTAGAAATCGGAAATGCATCTTTCACTGTGACGTCATTTATCTTCCGGAAGTCTATACAGTACCTAAGTTACCCGTTTTAATTTAGAGAAAAATCTAATAAATTTCCAAAACGGTAATTATTACAGCAGGTAAGTGATGCCACGTTTATGTTGTTTACATATGGTGTCTACATATCTCAGTTGATACGTTATGGTCGTGCATGTTCACACTATAAGGACTTCATATACATGAGTGTGCTCCTTACGCAGAACCTGCTCAAACAGAGTTATGAGGAGGAAAGATTAAAAATGACACTCTATGGACATCATCACGAATTGATTGATCTATACGATGTGTCTGTGTCTAAACTAACTAACGACATTTTTACCACGTCTTAGATTGTGGTTTACTATCTACGTCGTCTGGTCTGCTAAGTACCGAACGTGACCTATTCC